GGTGTATGAGGAGAGGCTGAGGGATCTGTGTTTGTTCCGCCTGGAGAAGAGAGGGCACAGGGGACAGACCGCATAGCATCCACTGGTTAAAAGGGGCACAGAGAAAATGTAAGATTCTTCTCAGAGGTGCACAAGGAAAGGACAAGCGGTTTTCGCTGCTTTGGGGCTTTCAACTCCTCTCGTCAGACACATCCTTTGTGCCTGGGACAGAGCAGACACATGCCTCCTTCAGCAGTCCTGAGCTGTTCTCCTCCTAAGACAGCATAACAGGTGGGTGGAAGGTAGGTCTGTTTTCTCCACAGCCTGGTAAAGATGGTAACCTGCACGTCCCAGCAAGTTTGTCTGGAAGAAGGGCTGCAAATGCCAGAGCTGAGCAGGCACTGGCCACCTTGTACTGCACAGTGCTGCGAAGCAAGCACTTGACATCTTCTCACCCCCAGCCAGCTCAGGAACTAATAAGGCTGCTGCAACTCACAACCCCCTAACACACTTTTGGATAATCTTTGTGCTACCTTTTCAAGGGCTACATCTGTCTGTACATTCATGATTTTATTGATGCAGAGGAGTGACTGAGGAGGCAGAGGAACTAGACAAGAGAGGAAAATGACTGCAGGCATGTACTGAAGCACTCAGCCTGTCCAGCTGAAAGAGATTTCTGCCAAACGATTTTATAAGGAATGAGGCATTCTACAGGAAAAGCAGGGCCTCTGCTCTCATTTCCTTTCCCCTCTTCTCTATGAACTTCAAAGAAAAGACGGGTCAAAACAGAGGCCAGGCAACTGGAATGGATTCCTGAGCCCTAAGCCTAATTAGTCCAAAGTTACATTTCATCAGCTACCTCTTAGAGATGGGCCTAAATTACAAATCCAACCCACAAAGTCATCTAGGTTCAAATAAAGTCAGAACACAATTCAGGCTTCTGAAAACCCCAGTAGTGCTGGTGGCAAGGCCCTTGGGAGGTCTCTAGTGCAGCTCCCCACTCACAGCAGGGCTGTCCCCCACATCAGCTTAGGGCGGCCCTGGCTTTGTACAGCTGTGTCTAGAAACCCCCTCAGGACACAGAGAACCCCCATCTCCCCTGGGGCCTTGAACCAGGGCTGCTGGGGAAGGATCTGTTCCTACTGCAACATGAACCTCCCAAGGCTGTCTGTCATCTATGGCTGCTGTCCCACCTTATAGCAGCTGGCACGACCAAGAGAAATATTTAGCCAATTTGCAAACAGCCTTCCAGCAGTTCTCAGCTGACGTTAAATGACCCCTTTTGCCTCCCATTTACCACATCAGGCAAGCCGAGCTCCCTCCAGCTCTCCTTGCAGTTTGTGTGCCTCAGGCTCCTTCCCATCTTGCAGCTGTTTGCTGACCCCTGTCCAATTATTCAACATCCTGCCTGAACTGGGGGTTCCCAACTGGACACACTGTTCCAGCGGGGGCCCTCTCTGGTGTCCAGCAGAGGGGATAATAACTTTCCTTGATTTGCTGGCCCCACTCCTCCTAATGTAGCCCAGCACGTAGTTTGCCCTACCAGCAGTAAAGACCAAGGCTTGCTTTTATACAGATTTTAAGGAGGGTTTTGAAACTGCACGGCAATTTCAAGATACATGTCTCCTCCCTACAAGATACAGGTCTTAGGATTTTCTCAGGACCCATTAAAATATTCTCAAGAATTGAGAAACAGAAATGACACAGACTTTTTCCTACAGTCTCTCTCAAGACGCTAGCCTCAGAGGGGGGCATCTTATTTTGAGACTACAGTAAACATGCTTTGACAGAAGGACTAATTTCCGGCCTTGTGGTCAGAAAGCTGAGAAAACCAAAACTATTTTGCAGATCACTAGATCAAAACTAGTAGAGAAGGGAAAGGATATCACAGTCACTGTAAGTTTATGAGGCCTCTTAATGCTAGAGTACAACTTACACTAGGAACATAGGAAATCAAGTATTGCAGCTTGCACTGCAGTGGCTAGTCATGAACAAAGCCAGGCAACCGGCTGCAGGGAAAGTGAGATCCTCACGTATTTACAGCTTCCTCTCAAATGCGGGTGGTGGCTCTGCACCAAAGCAGGCTCCTGTACCCTGCTCCCCCGTCACCTCAGACTGGTGACCACAGTCAGTGCAAGGCACATCCTTCTCCTGGCTCTGTGCTCAAGTAACTCTCCCAGGGAAGCCAGAGAGCAGGAGGTATGCTGGAGAGAGGGTGTAGCAAGGGAGCACACAGAGGCACAACACCTGGATAACACCACCAAACCCCACAGTCTACTAGACTGCTAAGCAACAATGCCAAAATAGTGTTTGCCAGTGACACACCTTACCGACAAACCATGAGTGAACTCATATTTGCTGAAGAAAAATGGGTACTTTTGAATCAGGAGGGATCTTCAAACTGTTTTATACAATTTTCTGCCACGAAACAAAAGTAAAGTTCTTCCCTTAACAGTATTGATTCCAAATCACATACTCAGCTCTCACTTAAGGAATTGGTTTGGGACTGACAATGTCTAGGCTCAACCCCATTTTATGCATCACTGCATCATT